CTCCTCCTCCTCCTCGTCCTCTGCACTCGCTCACGTTCCCTGGCCATCCTCGTAGGCTGCTCCGCGCCATCGACTGCCTGCGGCACGCGGCGGCGGGCGCCGAGCGCCGCGACGCGGGGCAGATGCTGGAGGACGACGCCGCGCTGGAGAGGCCCTCCGTGCAGAACGACGAGGAGGAGGAGGAGGAGGAGGAGGAGGAGGAGGAGGAGCAGCAGCAGCAGCAGCAGCAGCAGCAGCAGCAGCAGCGGGAGGAGGAGGAGGAGGAGGAGGAGGAGGAGGAGGAGTTTGAAGAGGAGGAGGAGAAGGAGGAGGAGGAGGAGGAGGAGGAAGAGGAGGAGGAGGAGGAGGACGCCGTCGCGCTGGGGAGGCTCTCCGCGCAGAACGAGGAGCTGTCGAAGGAGAAGAGGGCCTCGCCCTCAGCAGGCCCTGCCTGATCCGTCAAGACGAGCAACAAGAACTGCGTATGCACAACTTCTCGGAGGTCCGCCCAGCTTTCCTGGATGGGCGATGGGCCCTGGCGCACCTCCAGGGAACTGTGTTTGCGCAGTTTGTGTTTTTCGGCCGTCGCCGGGTGCTTGGTGCACCCAGATCTCCGACGGTTTGTTTGAGTTTTTCGCCCAGCGGCTTTGTTCGCGATCTCGGCCTCCGGGGCCTGTCGTCGGGCTCCAGGACCATCCCAAGCGGACACGGGACGAAGATTTGCCCCCGGGGAAGCAGCCGGGATGTCCTGGGGCCGCGGCCTGAAAGCATTCGGCGGCGAGCGAGGGGGGGAAGTGCGAAGGAGAGGGCCTGCGGCGGGGCTTCTCAGGAGGCCTCCGGCCTTCTGAGAGGCGCTCTTCGTCTTCGGGGAAGGCTCAGGAAACTTCTCCGAAGGCCTGGAGACTCCCGAGCCTTCTGAGAAGGCCCGCCCCTTCTCATTGCCCCCCCGGGCTCGCCGCCGAAACGGCCTGTCGGCGGCTGTCCCGCCGAAACGTCATGTCGGCGGATGTCTGGGCGGTCTGGGGCGGATCTCGATGTCCCCCCCAGGGGCGCGAAGAGCAGCGCGCTCCGCGCCCCGCTGCCCGGGCTGGGAGGAGCGCCCTCCTCCAGGGGAGGCGCCGCGGGGGGCGCGAGGAGCACGACCGCGCGCCTCGCGTCGCGGGGCGCAGTGCGCGGAGTCTCCTCCTCCTCCTCCTCCTCCTCCTCCTCCTCCTCCTCCTCCTCCTCCTCCTCCTCTGCCTCCGCCTCCTCCTCCTCCTCCTCCTCCTCCTCCTCCTCCGACTGCTCTTCCACCTCCTCCTCCTTCTCCTCCTTCTCCTCCTCCTCCTCCGCCTCCGCCTCCTCCTCCTCCGCCTCCGCCTCCTCCTCCTCCTCCGCCTCCTCCTCCTCCTCCTCCTCCTCCTCCTCCTCCTGTGGTGGCACATGCCTCTGATGCGCCGGATCGTGATCGGGGCAGGCCCCCGCGGTGCGCGAGATTGGGCCGGGGGGGAGCCTCTGAGGACGCGACGGACGAGAACCGGAGGCTCCAGGAGGAGAACGAGCGCCTCGTCGGCGTCGTGCGGCAGCAGGACGATCAGCTCCAGAAGGTGCGGGAGCGAAACCGGGAGCTGGAGGAGCTGGTGCAGACGCAGACGGAGCAGGCCAGGCCCTCGCTGGGGCACGGGCGTTTGGGGGGCACGCCAGGGGGGGGAGGGCGATCAATGGGGGGTGCAGCGAGCTGCAGAAAGGGCCTTTAGGGTAGGGCAGGGCCCCTGAGGGGGCCCCTCGGGGCCCAGAAGGGGGCCTTTCTTCCCCCCCCCCCCTCCACTCATCGCCCCCCCCTCCCATTACCTCGCGCCCGAGACCCTGTCTTGCCTTCGGACGAGAGCTGGCACCCCGCTCCCGCCCCAGCCCCCTGGCATCGCTCGGACGTGTGCTCGGCGAGGGCCATCGCGGAGCACCCTCTGGATCGCGGAGCAGAAGCAAAACAACAAAGCACGCACGAAGCCGAAGCATGCACGGGGCCCCCTGGCATCGCTCGGACGTGTGCGTGTCTGCTCGGCGAGGGCCATCGAGGAGCACCCTCTGGATCGTGGAGCAGAAAAAACAACAAAGCACGCGCGAAGCCGCAGCATGCACGGGGAATGGCTGGCCGAGCGCCGACAAGGGACCTCGTCTATAGGCGCACTACAGCGCTGGGGAAAACCGTTTGTTTAACTGTCTCCCAAAACTATATGCTTTTAAACCAGTTTTTAGACATCAGTATCGCCCTGGAGCTCCCGCCCCCCAGGACCTCACCTGGCCGCCCCGTCCAGTCTGGGCGCGCTCTGTAAATTCCCGCGTGTCTGCGGCACGACCGTCCATCCAAATGGACTCAGACCATCCCAGGCCCACTTGGATGCCTCCCCCCCTGGCCATCCCCGTGAAACATCTCGGGGGGGCTCGCCGAGACTCGCGTGCGTGGAACTTGCAGATCGTGATCGAACAGTCCCTGACACATAATACCATACGCCATACGAGCCACACACACACACACACACGCGCGCACACTGAGGGACAGCGTCCTTGCCAAATGATTAAACGCGGGCCGCGCGCGCGCTGGACTGGCACAACCCCCGTCAAATAATGCCACGCGTGCCACACGGGCCATATTCCAGATGCGCGCGTGAAATGGCAAGCTTGCACGGGCTGTTGGCTTGCACTGGCGACATCATCTTCCGCTCGCGTGTGCGCGGTGACGCATCCGCGCCTGCGGGAGGATGCAGCAAGAACAAGGGCTGATGCAAGATAACACGCGAGGCGTTCCATTAAAGGGCCTCGGCCGCGAGGAAAATCGGGAGGTTGGCACCTCCTCCACGGCGGGGGGCTGGCGGACGCAATACGGCGACGAGTCCGCCGGCAGAAGAGACCGCGCCGAAGCCGGCGGAAGTAGAAGTTGCACCCCTGAGAGGTGATGTGCGAAGGGCCAAGGGCGGGGGGGAGGAGGAGGAGGAGGAGGAGGAGGAGGAGGAGGAGGAGGAGGAGGAGGCGCAAGAAGAAAAGAAACAATTGGCGGCGAGGAGGAGGAGGAAGAGGGAGGAGGAGGAGGAGTATCCTCATCCTGCCCCCTCCGTCAGCGATCCCCCTCCCCATTTCGTGGTCGCCGAAGGCGGCCGCTAGTGCGGAGGCCACAGGGTGGGGGGGGGCACGATCCCTTGCGGCAGTCGCGCGTGGCCCTGCCCCTGCTCGTCCCTCCACCCGCCCCCTCCTCGCCCTCCACCCCGCGGGCGGAGGAGAGACACGAGAGGAGCAGAGGAGGCGAGAGGACCCGAGGGGAGGACCCGAGGAGAGGATCTGGAGGAGGCGAGAGGACCAGAGGAGGCCCCCCCCGCACGCCGGCGAGGCGATGGCCACCGGGGGGGGGGGGGGGCGCAGAGAGGATCGCGGCTCGCGCGACGCAGCCCCGCCTGCAGGAGCCGGCCTTCTCCGGGGGAGCGGCGCGGGAGCGCGGCGATCCCCGATGGAATCCTCCCGTCATCGTAGGTCGGGCACGTCCCTCCCCAGACCCCCTGGAGTAATGAAAAAATCATGACGGGAGGTTTTTCCTAATTTTCGGCCTCCGGCGGCCCTCGCCGGGCCTCGGGAGCGTCAAAAAACGACTCAGGATGCAAAGCCGGTCATGGGGAAAGGGTCGGGACCTCTGGGGGTCGACGTAATGAACAAATCATTACGTCGGGGGTCTGGGTCTGCAGGAGGAACATCCCAAACCAAAAAGAGCATCCAAGATAGTCTGGGGGCGATGCTCTATGAGTCCTTGATCATCTCTGATGATGGTGCGGCAGTGTTGCAATTTTCCTCCAAGCTCTGCCTGTGGGGGGGGGGGCATGCCCGACCCAATCGTAATCCTGTGGAGTCCACAGGGACCCTCAGGATCCCCGCTGGAAGGGGCCCTGAGGGTTCGAGGCCCCGAGGGGCCCCGACGTTTCCCCGGGGGGGGGACGTTTCCCCTGGGGGGGGGGGGGGGGGCGGGCCCCGCGCGAAGCGCAAGCGAGGCGAGGCGCCCGAAGGCAGGTGAGCCGAGACGCGAGGGTTTGATGTGAAAGGATGAGGAGGAGGAGGAAAGGAGAGGAGGAGGAGGACAGGAGAGAGAGAAGAGGAGGGGGAGGAGGAGAGAGGAGGAGGTAGAGGAGGAGAGGGAGGAGAGAGAAGAGGAAGGAGTAGGAGAGGAGGAGGGCGGAGAAGGAGGAGGAGGTGAGGGGGGGGGAGGGGGAGGGGGAGGGGAGGGAGGAATGATCGAGGACGAGGACGTTGAGGAGGCGGAGAGAAGGAGGAGGAGGGGCCTGCCCGGCATCGTGCCGAGGTCGGTTTCCTCATGCAGCAGTTGCAGGCCATTGCGGCCTCCGAATCCCCAGAGGACGTCGCCCTCCTTCCTTCCTCCTCCTTCCTCCACCCGCCACCCCTTCTCCCTCCTCCCCTCCTCTCCTCCTCCTCTTCCTCCTCCTCCTCCTGCGCCTTTCCTCCTCCCCCTGCCCCTCCCTCAACATCCTCCTCATCCCTGCCCCTCCTCCCCTCCTCCTCCTCCTCCTCCTCCTTCTCCTCGTCCTCCTTCTCCTGGTCCTCTTCCTCATCCTAATCCTCATCCTCCTCCTCCCACCCTCCTTTTTCCTCATCTTTCCTGAGCCACGCCTCGTCCTCCTCCTCCTCCTCCTCCTCCTCCTGCTCCTCCTCCTCCTCCTCGTCCTCCTTCTCCTCCTCCTCCTCCTTGGCCGCCGCGGTGCGGAGGACCAACGCCTTGTACCGCTCCTACCAGGACTCGCAAGACGACTGGGGCGAGGCGGAGAGGATCAGCCTCCCCGACGCCACGGCGCTGCCCCAGGAGGCGGACGGCCACGTCCGCGCCATCAGCACCACGGACCTCCAGAGGGCCGCCGACGTAGTGGCCGAGGTGCAGTCGCGGAAGACCACTCTTCCTCCTCCTCTTCTTCCTCCTCCTCCTCTCCTCCTCCTCTTCTTCCTCCTCCTCCTCGTCCTCCTCCTCCTCCCACTGCGCACCTCGCCTCCGTGGCCGAGGTGCAGTCGCGGAAGGCCCCGCACTCGGCGCCGGTGCGCCCTTCGCAGGGCGCGGTGCTCGCCCGCATGAGCGCCGCCGCCGACGCCGCCAGGCTGGGAGCCATTTCGACCCCGACGCCGCCGACGCCGCCGACTTAAATTCGACCTCGAGGATCCCGACTTCGATTCGACCTCGAGGATGCCGACTTCGCTTCGACCTCGAGGATGCCGACGTCGATCTGGAGGATTCCGACTCGTCGACGGTGAGCGTGTGTTGTCTGTCCCTGCCCCAGGGTGGCGCTCCTCACCCGGGCCCGCCCCCACTCCCACCCCGGGCAACGCCAACGATCGCGTTGGGTGGGCGGGTGGGCCTGGACCCCTGGCCACATGCTGCGGTGCACACGGGCGATGGATGCGCCGGAGGCGCGGACGCACGCGGCCGGGTGCACGCCGCGGCCGCCGTTACCGTTACCCCTCCCCACACACGAACCTCCCACCAGACCCCCTCGAGTAATGAAAAAATCATGACGGGAGGTTTTGCCTCATGTTCGGCCTCCGGGGGCCCTCACCGGGCCTCGGGAGCGTCAACAAAACGATTCAGGATGCAAAGCCGGTCATGGGGAAAGGGTCGGGACCTCTGGGGGTCGACGCAATGATTGCGTCGGGGGTCTGGGCCCCTCCCCTTGACAACGACTGTTACCCAGGCGATGGATGCGCCAGAGGCGCGGACGCTCCCGGCTGGGTGCACGCCGCGGCCGCCGTTACCGTTACCCCCCACAAGAACCTCCCACCCCTCTCCTCTGGATAACGACTGCTGCCCGGGAAAGGGAAGACAGGCCCGCTGTCGCTTATAGGTCTCGAGGATTCCCGCCTCGATTCGATCCTGAGGATTCCGGCTTCGATTCGATCTCGAGGACTCCGGCTTCGATTCGATCTCGAGGACTCCGGTTTCGATTCGATCTCGAGGACTCCAGCTTCGATTCGATTAGGCTCCAGATTCTGGCTCCGGTCTGGACTGCCTGTGCATGCCTCTGCTCGGGCCGGTGGGCTCTGACTTCGATGCCCGCCGATCTGCCCGCTGGTTCGATGCATGCCGATGGCCTCTCCGATGTTACCCGATCCGATTCGGGGTTGTCCCGCCAGGGTTAAGTCGGGCCTGTCCCTCTACAGGGGGAATGCTCAAAAATCGTCCAAACTAGTCTGGGGACGTTGTTTCACCACCTGTGTGTATTTGGGGGCATTTGTTGTATCTTTTTGTTGTTTTTCGTCCAAGATCCGCCGGTGGGGGGACACGCCCGACCTACAGCCAGGGCAGCCGATCGATTTCGATGCCTGCCGATCTGCCCGCCGCTTCCTGCCGAGTCGATGCGCTTCGACGGCCCATCCGGGTTTCGTCCGAGTCGATGTGGGGTTGCCTTGCCAGGGTCCATCGCCAGAGCCCGTCCATGTCCGCCCCACCGCTTCGGAGCCGTGCCCTGGGACCTCGGGCAGCGGAGGATGTGCATATCTGCCTCCTCCTCCTCCTCCTCCTCCTCCTCCTCCTCCTCCTCCTTCTGCCTCCCGCATGGGCGGGCATGATCTCCACATCCACCGCTCCCCGATGCCCCAGGACACGGCCCCGCAGCCGTGGAGCAGTGGATGTGGACATGCAGTCGGGGCGCTGAAGAAGGAACCCTTTTCGTTGAAGAGGGGGCTCCGTGTTCCTTGCTTGTTTCACAGCTTGCCTCAGGTTTTCCTGAGATTTTCGGCGGGAAATCGAAGTTCAACTTATGGAAAAAAGGGGCCTCGTTCCTGATTTAGGCTTCCTCAAGTCAACGCCCCGACTGTACTCTGGCGACGCGCAGGGGGTCCGAGCGGGTGCCCACGGGCACGACCCCGTTCTCGCCGCCGCGGCGCTCCAAGCTGGCGCAGTCGCTGGACAGCGCGCAGGTCCGGGAGTGCCTGGCCGGCGGCTTCGACGTCGACCACATCATCAGGTCGCGGCCGCCTCGGCGGCTCTCAGTGGCACCGAGAGGTCCCCAGACCCCCTCGAGCAATGAAAAAATCATGACGGGAGGTTTTTCCTAATTTTCGGCCTCTGAGGGCCCTTACCGGGCCTCGGGAGCGCCAAAAAACGACTCAGGATGCAAAGCCGGTCATGGGAAAAGGGTCGGGACCTCTGGGGGTCGACGTAATGAAAAAATCATTACGTCGGGGGTCTGGGTCTGTCAGCCGCCGGAGGCCCTGCAGGGTGCTCCTCTGCCAGGGGTTCCCCGAGGCTCTGCATCGCCCCGCGGTGCTCTCCGGCAGCCGCGCCTCGCCGAGGGGCGCCCAGAGGGTGTCCGCATCGCCCCCGAGCGGCCGGCCACCAGAGGCCCGAGGTGATGACCCGAAGATGGAGCGGCGAGGGTCACTGGTCAGGAGGAAAACACACACACACACACAGACACAATTCATCGTCGACCCTCCAGAACATGTAGGGAAATATGGGCAGTGGGGGGGAGGGGAGGAGGGGGAGGAGGAGGAGGAGGAGGAGGAGGAGGAGGAGGAGGAGGAGGAGGAGGAGGAGGAGGAGGAGTAGGAGGAGGAGGAGGGGAGGGGGAGGAGGGGGGAGGAGGAGGAGGGGGAGGAGGAGGAGGAGGAGGTGGGAGGAGGAGGCTGAGGAGGAGGAGGCTTATTCCGCTTGCTTCCGCATGCTGGCGATGCTGATTACTGTGTTCTTGCAGTGCCGTGCGACGTTTTCTCAACAGGCGCTACGATCTTAGGACTCCAGCCCGCTCAACGTCGGAACGGAAGAGGATGAACTGGCCTCGGGCCCGTGCTGGGAGGAGGTGGAGGAGGAGAGGAGGAGGAGGAGAGAGGAGGAAGGAGGAGGAGGGGGAGGAGGAGGGAGAGGAGGAGGAGGAGGAGGAGGAGGCTTCGGGCCTCGGGCCCGTGCTGCGCCCTGGGCGGGCATCTGCCCCGACGAGGGGCACAAGCCGCCCCTCGGGCACGAGCCGCCCTCGGCGGGGCGGCCTCGGGCGACGGCGCTCTGTCTCTTCTCCTCCTCGCCCTGTCACTACCCCTTCTCTCTCCCCCTCCCCCTCCTTCTGCTCCCCCTCCTCCCTCCTTCCTCCTCCTCCTCCCTCCTCTCATCCTCATCCTCATCCTCATCCTCATCCTCATCCTCATCCTCATCCTCATCCTCCTCTCTCCTCCTCCTCCTGCTCCTCCCTCCTCCTCCTCCTCCTCCTCCTCCTCCTCCTCCTCCTCCTCCTCCTCCTCCTCCTCCTCCCTCTCTGATGGGCGGCCTCGGGCGACGGCGCTCTGCTTCCCGCCCCGTGCTGTGCCGCTGGGGGGGGGGGGGGGGGGGCCGAGCTCTGCGGCCGAACGCAGCAGAGCCCCCCTGGAAGGCGGGCAGACGTCCCTCACCCCTCCTCCCTCCTTCCTCCTCCTCCTCCTCCTCCTCCTCCTGCTCCCCCTCCTCCTCCTCCCCCTCTCCTCCTCCTGCTCCTCCTCCTCCTCCTCCTCATCCTCCTCATCCTCCTCCTCCTCCTCCTCCTCATCCTCATGGGACCGAGCTCTGCGGCCGAACGCAGAAGAGCCCCCCTGGAAAGGCGGGCAGAAGTCCTCATGGCGCCAACATCGCAGGGCGGATTTCGCTCGGGGAACAGCAGGGTGGGCCCGGAGTGTCCTGGAGAATTCCGCTCTCCAGGTTTCGGAGCGGATGTGGTGCGCATGTGTTTCTTGGCCGGGAGTGAGGATTTTAACACATCCACGCGGCAGTAACCTCGTTTTTCGCCTTGTCGTTTTGGGGGCTAGGCACTGGCAGGAATCCACGCCGAAGTCCGCTGCAGGGAGAACGGGCCGCCACGGCAGACGCGCGCGCCGCCATCGATTGATCCCTGCGCCGGCGACGCTGCTCCACGGCCTCTGGAGCAGCGCCCCTGGCAGCCGCGATCTCTTTGACCACGGCACGGCCCCGATAGGGGAGTCTACAAGTACAGTCAAGACGCTGCAGTAAGGAACAGGTTTGGTTCGGGAGGGGCTCGATGTTCCCGAGGCTCCCCCGGTGCTGTTCCCCTTGCCCTCCTGGGGCACAGAGGCGCTTGTTGCGGGGCCAAGAAGGGGCTTCGTTCCTTATTTAGCGTTCCTTCTTTCAGCGGCCCGACTGTAGCCCGGGTCAGTTTGGCCGCCTTCGGGCGCACGCCGTTGGCAAGGGCCACGCCCTTCCGGAGTTTGTACACCCGGCCGTCCCCGCGGCGGAGATAACGGAGCTTGTGCTCCCACGTGGGCAGGCTAGCACTCAGCAGGGCCGCCCCGAACACCTGGAATTGGGGCCATGTCCGGCCGTGGTGCGACCTTACGGAAGGCAGTTTTGCCGGAGAGAGCAGCGGGACGCGGCAATGGCGAGGATCGACGTACCACGGGGCAGGGCCATCGACCGTAACCAGGCCAGGCAGAACCGCACCGTAACCAGCCGGGGCCGCGCCACGCTGGCGTGGTGGAGCGCAGCATGGGTCCAAGAAGTCATCTTGACGATGACGATCTTCTGCGGCTCTTGGGCAGGGCACCGCCGTATGCGGATGTGCAGTACCACCGTCTCTGCGCCGCCTGCGAGCACGCTGAGCGCGGGTGCCCCGCAAAAGGCCCGCTGCGCCACGGGCAGGCGTTTCAGAGCGCAGGTGCGCGAGCAACGAGTGCGGCTCCAACCGGCTGTCGAGAAGAACCTCCGGGCCCAGGGGCGTTGACAGAATTGCGGTGTTATTTCTAGGCTCCTTTGAAATCACATGCCACGCCGCGGGCCTTTGGCTCAAGTTCCAGTGGCTCTCTCGTTAAAAAAGGCTCCCACCCGATTTCAGCGGTAGCGGAACCCGTTGTTCACCCTATTGGTTCCAGAGCACAGATGGCGGCGGCGGCGGCAGCCGCAGCTGCCCCAGCGAACCCCGGCACCAACGATCCAGATTATGATATATTGTTACCTGAATTACGGGAAACTTGGTGCAACCTCGGCACGAACAGGTTCGTAGAATTATGCAATGCAAACTGCGAGAACGAGGACCTCAGTTACTAGAGCGGAACCTCAAGGCCGACCACGACGGCATAAAGTTGCTCTTCGAGCGCAGCGCCAATCAGGGCACCAGGACACAGGGCAACGACGACGAAGCATTCACAATGCTTCGGATGAGCTATAGGATGAACGTCATTACGGTCTCAATAATCAATCGCAACAGGTATTGCGAGGAACAGTTCAGCAACCACAAAGAAAATGTGAGTGGATAGCTTCAACACCAGATGAACACCTCGAAAAATGTTATTAAGATCGCCGGCGCAATCCAAACTGCAGGAGGTTCCTGGACAGGAGGAAGTGAGAGTAAGCCCGCGAGTGAGTACAAAGCTGTTCAACAGATAGAGACGTTTCCAGGCGACAGAGCCAAATTCAAGGAATGTAGCGAGAAGTTGTTGAACGCAGTCGCCAGATATTAGATGGCTAACGTGGTTATCGGGAAGCTCTGACAAAAAGTGAACAACACAATCGAAACCATGGACGGAGTGTTTCCCGATGACGAGCCAGATCATGAATGGAAGGTGGATCAAAATATTCGAGAGCAAATGGCAGCCTCGCAGACACATATGCAAGAGTACGAAGCAAAAAGGAATTACGAGTTGTATGGCGGTGATTAAACTAATGTGGACGAGGACCTCTGTTATCTATTAGATGGCAAAATTGAGGGAACGAGCCACGAGGGAAGCTTAAGCGTCTACAGACGGAGACGGCTTGATGAGGCTTCTCAACAGAATCATCAAGCGGCATTCTGCGGTAGCCGGAATTACACTTTCGCACAAAATGAATTTTGCCTTAACCCAGAGAAGCCGAAGAATTGGACGAGGTGGCTGTGCCGCTCGAACAGTGCAGCGTGTTAGTATAATGTTTGGAACAGTAGTGGTACGCCTATCCGTTACCATAGCCATGCCGGGTTGAAGCCTTGAGGGTCGTTATGGCCCATGCAGGTGGTTGGCTCGATGACTGGCAACGCGATTGCTTCAGAGCCCCAGATTCGTTGAGAATCGACGCTGGCCAGAAACTTTTCGTTAAATGCGAAGGTGGGAAAGACTGGGCTCCGACGCGAAGAACGCCGATGCAATGGACACTGGCCAAATTAACGATGACGGCGGTGAAAATTGGTACACCAACGGCGACGATGCAGATTATCACGACGAGATCGGTAAGTGGCGGTCCTGGAACGTGGAAGGCGCGGCAGGGAACGGCAACGCGAACGAAGCAAGTAGAGGAAAGGGCAAGGGCAAAGGACCCATGTGTCACAAGTGCGGAGGGCATGGGCACATTGCCCAGGACTGCGCCACCGAAGGGAACCCAAAGGGAAATAGAGACGGAACATGATAATCTAAAGGGACCAAGGGTTGCCGAGGGGCGCGGGCAGGCGGATACAAGGGGGGATGTCAAGGCACCAAGGGTTGCCCATTGCCCATGAGGTCGCATCGCAGGAGGCTACACAGGGAATTCGCAAGGAGGTTATCAGGGGGGTCAAGCCCCGGGCTGGAACGGAGGAGGCATGGGAGGAGTTGCGCGGATATGTGAGAGGGAGTTTTACAGATGCTGCGAAAAGGGTCACGTCGCAGCCCGCTGCCCCAGGAACGCCAACGAGGTCACCCTTGGCCAGGGGAGGGCCGGGAGAGCCCGCGCAGTTGCCAGGACAACCTCTGCCAGAGCCAGGACGTTTCAGCGCCGTGACGGGCGAAGTGGCAGACAAAAGTGGAGGCTCCGATTCGCCGACGATCCCGAACTAGCGGGGCCGGCTAAAGGGGGACAGGGGCGGGGGGCGCCGCGCGGGGCAACGGCGAGGAGTTCCTCCTCCTCCTCCCTCCTCCCCCGCCTCCTCCCTCCTCCTCCTCCTCCTTCTCCTCCGTCTCCTCCTCCTCCACTTCCTCCTCCTCCTCCTCCTCCTCCTCCTCCTCCTCCTGCGCCCTCCTCCTCCTCCTCGGGTCGCCTACGGCCCCGGGGGGAACCGTGTACCTTAGGGTTCGTGGTGATCCCGCCTACTCTGGTGAGTATTCGGCGAGGCTTGATATAATAGTAGCTGCGTCGCTCCCGCCAACATGTTTCCCCAAAGGTCGATCCAAGCTGTCTCCGCCGAGGCCCGTCGGTCGGTCGGAGCTGCTGCTGAACTCGCTGCAGTGCTGGTGTTTCTCACGGCCTCACCTCCTCCTGGTTCTGTCGCACTCGAGGCGGCACTCCTGTGATCTCCGTGCGCACAACGTTAAGGAGGTCTGCCATTTCTACGAACGTGTCCTGAGCATGTTGCAACAACTCCGGCCGATAAGAATAAAGGACGAGTGCATTGAACGCGCGTGAGCACCTGATCTGCATCTAACTCCACTGGCGTAGGAGGGTATAGACGGCAGACCGAGCCCGATACATGGTGCCACTGTTCTGAACCTTCTGCAAGACATAGCGTGCGTGTTGCTTCGGATCGTCCACTACATTCTCCGTCGAACGGAGAGTTTCTTGCGCACTAGTGAATGCACTCTCTCTCTCTCTCTCCTTTCGCCGAAAGGCTGTGCTTCGTCATGGCTCTGTGGCTAAATCCTCAGTCCGCGGGCCTCGATCCTTCTGCAAGACCTGAACTCTTCTATGTGGGCACGATGGGTACTGCCAAGATCTGGGCAGCAGCATGACACGCCCGAGCCGCCACGGCAGGTGCGGGGGCAGCTCGTTGTATAGCTCGTCGGAGTTGTGGGGACTAGGGGCTCTCGGAGATCCCAGTTTGTCCTACACCTTAGGCGATGCTGAAGAAAACCTAAGTTTTCGTCCAGAGTCTCGATTATTCTTAACTTTTCAATGTAAACCCCAAGATTTTGATCGAAGTTCTGGGTTTTATTCAATTTCTGAGACCATGAATTTCTTAACCCATGATTTCTTAAGCATTTCGCAGGGTGTACAGGCCCCCTAGGGCGTAGGGTTCTCTGGACTGCATACGTCTGCTCCCCAGCAGATGCAGGTCGTTGGTGTTCCGTCGCCGTAACGCAATGGTAGCTGGTTGTACCCTCCGCTCTTCCTCCACAAGTTCTTCCACCAGCACTTCCTGTCGGTGGCATTCTCCACAAAGGGCGATACCATCTCCTCAGGCGTCCTGTAGTTGTATTCCCTTCGTACTTGCGCCAGTTGATATTGGTAGGAGGCCCGTTGGCCCCTCACGTTTGGGGTCAATTCCTTGCTTTTGTATGCGAAACCTGATCTTATTTCACGGCCGATAGTACCGTGCTCAGTTTTTTCGCTAAGTGCAGCCCGCTGGACCGAATGGGGTGCTTCTATACCTCCCTCTCCGATGGTGGCACCGTTCCTCCCACTGGGGACTGTCACCCATCGTCGACAGGACGAGGAGGAGGATGAGGAGGAGGAGGAGGAGGAGGAGGAGGAGGAGGCGTGAGGAGGAGAGAAGAAGCGTGAGGAGGCGTGAGGAGGAGGAGGAGGAGGGAGAAGGGAGAAGAAGGAGGAGGAGGAGGAGGAGGAGGAGAAGGAGAAGGAGGAGGAGGAGGTGGAAGAGGAGGAGGAGGAGGAGGGAGAAGGGGGAAGGAGGGGGACGAGGAGGAGGAGGAGGAGGAGGAGGAGGAGGCAGGAGGAGGCAGAAGGAAAAGGAAAGAGGAGGAGGAGGAGGCCCCGGGAGGGAGGGCGAGGTTCCACAGGCCCCGCCCCACCACCAGGTGCCTGGCGACGGCCCTCCAGAACAAGATCATCCTGGCGATGGGCCGGTCGCGCCCGCACGGCGCCTCCGCGGAGTGCATCCGCGCCTGCGGCATCTTCCTCGAGCCGGCGTGCCGGCAGCGCCTCGAGAGCGACGCGGCGGCTGCGCTGGGCCGGCAGCAGTGCAAGGCTCGGGGCGGGGAGGAGGGCAACGCCTAAGCTTCAGTCGGGCCTGTCCCTCTACAGGAGGAAGATGCAAGAATGGTAAAGCATAGTCTGGGAGCGATGTTTCGACTATTTTTTGTCTTGCATGTTTCATTTTTGGTCTATCTTTCTTTCCGTCCAAAAGATCGGCACGTAGGGGGACACGCCCGACTTCAGTCTAAACGTTCGGATGTCTTCGTCGGTTCTCGGCGGTTAACCAGCCTCGGGATGCTCCCCCGCGGCTGCGCCTCGCCGAGGGCGTTCCGGGGGGGGGCCCAGGCCGGCCCGAACGGCCTCCAGAGGCCCAAGCTCGGGAGACTCTCCATGGGATCCCCAGGGGATCCTATGGGATCCCCCCCTGGGATCCTATCCCCCCATGGGATCCCCCCCCATGAACAGTCTCCCGACAAGCACCGACCCGAGAAGCACCCGGCGCGGCCCAAGTCGGAGGAGGGCCAGCGGAGACCACGGCCGCCCTCCCCGGCGCTGCCCGTCCCCCGCGGGCCTCCCCGGGAGGCTCCCCGTCGCCACGGCGGGCGCCGCGTTCGGCGCGCGGGCCGGGATGGACCCCGGGAGGCGTCCGAGGGGCCAGTTTTGAGCGACTGCTCGCGAGAAGGGACACGCTCGCGGCACGGCCTCTGCTCTGCCCGAGGAGGAGGAGGAGGAGGAGGAGGAGGAGGAGGAGGAGGAGGAGGAGGAGGAGGAGGAGGAGGGGCGGCCTCTGGGCTGTGTGTCGGGCGGGCTGGCAGCCTCTGTCTCGCCCCACGTCAGGTGTCTGAGCCCCCCCCCCCCCCGGCGCCCCGCTCCGAGTGCCGTTTCGGTTCGAGGGGGGTTCCAGCAGAGGCGCCTTCGGGCACGCACGCTTTCGGACATCCCAGCCCTCAGACATGCCGCCAGGACCTCGCGCCAGGCGCCCGTCCTCGCGGGCGCCAGTGGCCGCGGCCCTCTGAGCGCTGGCGGTCCGCGGTCCTCCGAGCTCGTGTCGCCCCGGCTGGCCACTCCTCCCCGCCCGCCGGCGTGCTTTTCTGCCGCCGGCCCGTGGCTTCCCGCCTGCGCGTTTGTCGCTCGTCGTCTGCGCCGTGATGTCAGAGGGGTCCCGAGGCAAACGCGCCCCGGAGGCCTTTGGGAGCACAGGACATGTAGTTTCATCATGACTTCTTCTGCGGCCTTCACCTGTTCAAGCATGGGTATATTGCGGGCCAACGTATCCTTTTGGTCGGTGAGGGCTTGCCCGCCAGAGCGTTGGCGCGCAAACCCAGGACGCTGCGCCCTGGATCGCGGCATCCATCCCATGAAGTCGTGACAAATCGCATTTTAAGGATAATCCAGTCGCCGAGTCTGCCCGCACGGTTCCCATCGGTAGGAGCGGCATGTCGTCCGCTCATCCGTTCCCATTGCATGCTTGAATACCGCCAGAGCATAGCCGTGTATCTGTCCGACACAGCTGCCTTGGGCCCGTTCAGCGACCTCGGCAAGTGCACCAAAGCGCCACGCGACCAACTCCCTGAAGTAATCCTTCCTGTTCGTTCGCTCAAGCGAACCGTCTTGTGAAAGGTACATAACGCCGTGGGTAGTCTCCTGGTGCTCGTTCGCCGTCGAAGTCCTGCCTGCGGCGGTCGCGACATGCACGAGCGTGGCGAGAGTTCAGGATGACGCCGCTAGCTCGTCACAAGCCTTGGCGTACGCCCGTTCTTCCTCGCATCAAGTTGTTTCTTATCTTGCAGCCCGAGAAGCCACGCACGTCGACGGCGGAGAACGTGTCGCCAGTCTGGTCGCATCGTGGTGTCCATCATTCGATGCTGAACTACGGCGCAACAGATTCTCCCGTCTTCCGTACTGAACTTCATCTGTGGAGGTAGCGCTCGTCGTGTTCTCTTACCAACGTACACTCCGATGTTTGATCCATTAGCTGCGTGTGAGGCGCGCATCACGGGTAAGAGGGTAACATGTAGCCAATGGACGTTGAAAGCTCAATCGTTCGTCCAGAAGTTTCTCTGTCACTTGGTATTGGATGCACCCAGCACTCATGGAGAGCGCGAGGCGTCCACGAAATGTCGTCTGTCAACGGGAAGTTGGGGGGTTGCTATCACCGCGTGACTCGCATCCCCGACTTTCAGGGTTTTCCAGCACATGGATATTGCGCGGCTGTTTGCCAGCGGCAGACCGTATCGTCTTCCACTCCCCGAGATCGTTGATGGCCGTTTTGTTTCGCTATTGTGGGGACGTGCATCAAAAATCGAGTTGCTTCTCGTCAGGGTACCCTGGGTTTCTTCGCTCCGCGCGCTGCGTGGTGACTCCCCGCGGCCGTTGAAGAAGCTGGTGCGTCCAATGTGTTCCGGGTCTCCTCCCAGGTGCATCTCGCGCGCGGGTTTTCAAGGCTGGTTCTCTTGCGAGGGTGCCTTGCCGCCGCGTCCACAACGTAAGCTAGCTCAGCCTAAACAGCCTGGGCCTCGTCAGTAACGGGGCGTAGGTTGGGAAAAAGACAGCTATTGCGCTCAATCGGAGATGAACACAGTCGGCTGGGACGAGGTGCGGGGGGGAGGGGGGGGGAGTCGGTGGAGGAGGATCAGAAGCATGAGGAGGAGGAGGGGGAAAAGAAGTAGGAGGACGATTGCAAGAAGGATGAGCAGAATGAGGGAGGAGAAGTTGGGGGGAGACGAAGACGAGGAGTAAATGGACGAGGAGGAGGAGGAGGAGGAGGAGAAAGAGGAGGAGGAGGAGGAGGAGGAGGAGGAGGAGGGAGGACAAGGAGAAGAAAAAAAAGAAAAATAAGAAGAATAATAATAATCATAAGAAGAAGAAGAAGAAGAAGAAGAAGAAGCGGCCCCCGAGTTGCAGGGCCACCGTGCCCGGTGATGCTGCCCGCCGGCCCCCGACAGGCGTCCGCTGCGTCGGCCCCCTCGCCGGGGACCGGCGGCGGCACGCCCCTGTCGTCGTTCTGCTCGCCGCTGATGTCCAAGGACCGGCCTCCTGCTGCTGCTCTCGGGGCTCAAGAGACGGCCTCCTCCTCCTCCTCCTCCTCCTCCTCCTCTTCCTCCTCCTCGTCGTCCTCCTCCTCGTCGTCCTTCTCCTCCTCCTCCTCCTCCTCCTCCTCCTCTTCCTCCTCCTCGTCGTCCTCCTCCTCCTCGTCGTCCTTCTCCTCCTCCTCCTCCCTCCTCCTCCTCCTCCTCCTCCTCCTCTTCCTCCTCCTCCTCGTCGTCCTCCTCCTCGTCGTCCTCCTCCTCCTCGTCGTCCTCCTCCTCCTCGTCGTCCTCCTCCTCCTCCTCCTCCTCCTCCTCCTCCTCCTGTGGGCTCGCTCATCGAGCCTTAAGAGGCGGGGGCCAATGCGGACGGGGGTCAGTCGGAGCGCCTCGTCTTGCAGGATCCTGCAGAACCAGGTGTGCACTGACCCAGGCGTATGCGCAGGATCAGGCTGGATCCTGCAGGATCTTGCAGGCTCCTGCAAATCCCGATTGACCCGGGTTTGGATTGAGCTGGGTCAGTTCCCGATGTTCGTTCTCTTTCTTCCATTTTCCCCTCCCTCCCGCCTGCTCCGAACCTCTACACGTAAGAGTGGCGCTTCGCCAGAGTGACCTTTGGTGCGAGCACAGAGGGGTCCCCAGATGACTGAACGCGATGCGATAGCAGCATCTTGCGCGCTCGGGTTTGGCCTCCCCGCGGCCCCCCGAAAGTCGCACACCAAAGGTCCCTCTTGCCTAGGGTCACTCTTGCGTGCAGCCGATGAACCGCCTCCTCCTCTTCTTCCTTATCCTCCTCCTCCCCCCCTTCCAGCTCTGCATCCCCCATCATTGTCCTCTTCTCTCTTCGTCTCCCGCCCGTGCCACTCCCCACCACCGCGCTGTCTTCCCCCGTCGGGTCCACTGACGTCGAGGTGTCCTCCCTGGCCGAGGGGCCCGTGAGTAGTGGAAGGATCTGAACTCTTGGGTACGCTCCTCCCTTCTCTCTTCGTCTCGTGCCCTCTCCCTCCTCCTCCTCCTCCTCCTTCGCCTCCTCCTCCTCCTCCTCCTCCTTATCAACCTCCTCCTTCTGCTTCTGCTTCTCCTCCTCTTCTTCCTTATTATCATTATTATCCTCCTCCTTCTCCTCCTCATCCTCCTCCTCTTCCTCAGCCTCCGCCTCCTCCTCCTCCTCCTCCTTCTCAATCTCCTCCTCCTCCTCCTCCTCCTCCTCCTCCTCCTTCCCCTTCTCCTTCTCCTTCTCCTTCTCCTTCTGCTTCTCCTCCTCGTCTTTTTCCTTATTTTCATAATTCTCCTCATCCTCCTCCTCGTCAGCCTCCGCCTCCTCCTCCCCCCCCTCAGAGAAGGAGAAGGTGCCCATACCGCTACCTTTCCGCCGTCCTCGCCTTCTCGGGCCTCTCGGGAGACCCCCGTCGCCACCGCTGGATTCGCCTCGAAATCCTGGGCAGAACGCACCCCAGGGGAGGTGCGGGGAGTAGCAGTATCGGTACCTTTGGGTTCCCCCCCCTCTCCCGCCCGTCATCCGCCCTGCCCCCTCCGCTGACGCCCGAGGACCAGCCGGGGGCGTGCCTCCTCGACACCATGGGCAAGCCCGTGGAGCCGCTGAACGGGATCGCGGTGATCTTCTCGTTTCTCTTGTGGCTTTTCCCCTTCGTCTTCGCAGTACAGCGCAAATCTATAGTAAGGACGGGTAGCCTTCCCAAGGGCGCCCTTGCGTTCTTAGATTCGTTCGGCCGTGCGCCGCTAGAAGAGCTTCCACTGGTGCGTCCAAGGACCGTCCAATGGCCGTGCGTCCGTACAGCGCGTTCTTACTACATGTTTCGACTGTGCGATGTTTGTTGTAAGTCTGCGCCTTCCTCTTCTGCGTCTTCCTCCGCCTCCGTCACGCCTCCTTCTCCGCCTCCGCCGCCACTCATGCTCCACATGCGCCTCCTCCTGCTGCTCCTCTCCTTTCTCCTGCTCCTCCTCTTCCTGGGCATCCTATGTCTGATCGTATACCTCATCAGCAGCAGCATGCTCTTCACGCTCCTGTTCTCCTGGTCCTCCTGCCTCCTCCTCGTCAGCATCCTCATCATTGTCCTCCTCATCCGCCTGCTCTTCCTCCTCTGCCTCCTCCTACATCTCGTCGTCCTCCTCCTCCTCCTCCTCCTCCTCCTCCTCCTCCTCCTCCTCCTCTTCATCTCACCCTCTCTCTCTCTATTTCTGTGTATCGGAGGTTGGGTGAGATCGCAGTGGAACGGAGAACCCCAACCGGGAATCGTTTCGTTTCGTTCGTGTCGTGCGTGCGGGCTAGGCGAAGCTGCGTGGGCGCGCGAGAGGAATGAACCCGCCGCTGCTAGGGCGAAGTCAAGACAAATGATTCTCCCCCGCCCGTCCGGCGGTGGCTCGTGGTGTCCCGCGGTGTCCCGTGGTGTCCCGTGGTGTCCGCCGCTGCTAGGGCGAAGTCAAGACAAATGATTCTCCTCTCCCGCCCGCTCGTCTGGCGGTGGCTCGCGGTGTCCCGCGGTGTCTTGTGGTGTCCCGCGATGTCCCGTGGTGCCCCGTGGTGCCCCGTTGAGTGAGATCGATAGTGAGATCGATACGGAGATTGATGTGGTGCCCCGAGGTGTCCCGTGGTGTCTCAAAAAGTGAGATCGATATTGAGATCGACAGGTGTCCCGTGGTGTTCCGTGGTGTCCCGTGTTTTCCCATTGAGTGACATCGATAGTGAGATCGATAGTGAGATCGATAGTGAGATGGATGTGGTGTCCCGAGGTGTCCCATGGTGTCCTATGGTGTCCCGTTGAGTGAGATCGATAGTGAGATCGATAGTGAGACCGATAGTGAGATCGAGAGGTGTCCCGCGTTGTCCCGTGGTGGCCCGTGGTGTCCCGTGGTGTCCCGTTGAGTGAGATCGATAGTGAGATCGACAAGTGTCCCGTGGTGTCCCGCAGTGTCCCGTTGAGTGAGATCGATAGTGCGATCGATTGAGTCAGATGTTGGTTCCCCCCCCCTCTCCCCCCCACACAACCTCCTTATCACCCGAAGGGTGGTCGTATAGGTATACATGTGTGTGCGCACGTATCCTCCTCCTCCTCCACCTCCTCCTCCTCCACCTCATCCTCCTCCCCCTCCTCCTCCTCCTCCTCCTCCTCCTCGTCCTCCTTCTCCTCCCCCTCCCCTCCTCCACCTCCTCCTCCCCCTCCCCTCCTCCTCGTCCTCCTTCTCCTCCTCCTTCCTCTGCCTCGTTCCTCCTCCTGGTGCGCACCGCGCCGAACAAGTGGGACGTGTACGGCTTCCTGCGCGACGTGATGGTGAACTTCCGGCTGGAGCCCGAGGTCAGCGTGGTCACCATGAATTACGTGGATCGTTTCTCCGACACGTGCGGTGTGGCTCTCTCGATGAAGGGAACAATCGTAGCAACGTCCTCAGAGTTCTGCGCAGATTCCCCTCGTCGTCCTCCTCGTCCTCCTCCTCCTCCTCCTCCTCCTCCTCCTCCTCCTCCTCCTCCTCCTGCCTCTCTGCCTCTCCCGCCACGGCGGCGTCTCCCTCCTCCTCCTCCTCCTCCTCCTCCTCCTCCTCCTCCTCCTCCTCTTTCCCCCCCCTCCTCCTCCTCCTCCACCTCCTCCTCCTCCTCCTCCTCCTCTCCTCCTCCTCCTCCTCCTCCTCCTCCTCCTCCTCCTCCTCCTCCTCCTCTCCTCCCCCCCTCCCTGAAAGGGGAACGACAAGGGGGGGGGAAGTGGCTCACAGACGCAGGAGCGCTGCACCAGCGCAACAAATCGGAGGCCTGCGCGGCTCTCTCTGCATGGGCGCGCTGGGCCCCCCCCCCCCCCCCCGGCGGTGCCTCCTGCGCCGTGCCCGGCGATGCCTCCGGCACGACCTGCGCATGGGGGCCCAGCGCCGATGCAAGAAGTCCGCGCGGAGCCCCGAAGTTTTGCATGTTTTCCCTTGTCCTTGTCCTTCTTCTTATTCTTCTTCTTCTTATTATTCTTCTTATTCTTCATATTATTATTCCTCTTCTTCCTCTTCCTGCCCCCTCTTCGTCTCCTTATTGTTATTATTCATGTTCCTTTTCCTTCTTCATCGTCTTCTTCTCCCGAAGCTTTGTATGTATGCCCTTTTCCTTTTTCTTCGTGTTCTTCTTCTTCTTCTTCGCAGGAGGGGGCCCAGCGCCGATCCAAGAGATCCGCGCAGAGCTCCGACGGTTTGTAGCTACGCCGTGCTTCCTCCCTGGAGGCTCTCACCCCCGACAACTGGCAGCGGCTGATCATCACGGCGATGATGCTCGCCTCGAAGGTGTGGAACGACGAGTCTTTCGAGAACGTCGAGTTCGCCCAGCTGTGCCCGCTCTACACGCTGGACGAGATCAACACCTTCGAGCGGACATTCCTCAAGTGCGTGGGCTACAACATGTCCGTGAAGGGGTCCGACTATGCCAAGACGTATTTCCAGCTGCGAACTCTGGGCGCGAAGGATTGTGCCAGCCTTCGGGCACAACGAACAAGGGTATGGCCAACAGCCAGAACTTACGTAGGAACACTATTCTCTCTCTTACACACACGCATACACACACTTCCACACACTTCCACAGGTGACTATATGAAATGCATGTGGGCTCGTGTTTTCATGTAGTTGTCGCCAGACAGGAGCTGTGATAATGGCATTGCCACCAACAGCAAGTGCAGCAAACATCATTTGCAACGGCCGTGCGTTCACACTCGTTCGATCATCCCCGCCGGGGGGGGTCCTCTTATACTGGCGTGCGAACGTTCCTGGCGAACATGTGGGATTGGTGGGGGGAAGAGAGAGAGAGAGAGAGAGAGACACAAAAACAAGAGAGAGAGAGAGAGACAAACAAAGAGAGAGAGAGAGAGAGACAGATAGACAGAGACAGAGGGAGAGGGACAGAGGGCGGGAGGGAGGGAGGCAGAGAGATGATGTATATGTATACGTATACATGTATGGCCAGACCCCCCAGCATCCCCCAACCACAAAAAACACAAAACCTTCACTGATAACTTGCTCATCGTCGTCCTCCGTCTCCTCCTCCTCTTTTTCCTCCTCCTCCTCCTCCTCCTCCTCCTCCTTCTCCTCCTCCTCCTCCTCCCCCGCTCCTCCTCCTACTCCCCTGCTCCTCCTCCTCCGATTAGCACAACAGCTATCCCCCTCTTCTCTGTGGCAACACAAGGCCAAGAATAGACAGCGTTCGGCGCCCTCGGTGCAAGGAAACGCTGCGCGTGCAAGCAGCAGCGCATGCGGCAAGCAAAACTGCACGCAGCGAGTAGCCTCCTTCTCCCCCCGGCCCGCAGCCACAAAGGCTCGAGGGCCCGAGGGCGCCACAGCTGTGGCCCGAGCACTGGTGCCGCAAAGCCATGCTGCAAAACAAGATCCTACCAACTCTTGCACACCATCGGGACCCATAACTCTTGATTCCTGGCCTTAATGTTAGGGGGCAGAAGGGGGCAGGCGCGACCGCATGTGCCCCCCCCCCCCCCGCCCCTGCCGGCGCACCTATCACACTCCTCGTGGCCCCCCAGGGAGCTCCTCTTCCCCTGTCGGCGGGCGCGACCGCACGGGATCTTTTTGCTCACTTCGCCGCACCCGTCACGCGCTCCGTGGCCCCATAAGGAGCTCCACCTGCGACCGCAGTGGGCGCGTGACCGCATGGGGTCCCCCTGCCCATCTCGGCGCGCCCCTTGCGCGCGTCATGGCACCATGAGGCGGCTCCACTTACGGCCTCAGTAGAAGGATGCTCCCAGAGATTTCCAGCGAGTTCAGATCACTATGAGGAGGAGCAGGATGAGGAAGAGAAGGAGGAGGAGGAAACAGAGGAGGAGGAGGGGGAGGACCAAGAAGAGAAAGGACAAGGACGAGGTTGAGGTGGATGCAGACGAGGCTGAGGGGGACGGTCAGGAGGAGCGCGAGGATGAGAAGGATGATGATGAGGAGGAGGTGCAGGAGGAGGAGGTGCAGGAGGAGAAGGATGAGAAGGAGGTGCAGGAGGAGGAGGAGGAGGAAGAACTCCTGGTGGAGATTCCTCGTTATCTTCGCCACCCCTGTCCTCCCTACCCTGACTCGCACTCTTCCGTCTCATCCACGTCCTAGTCCTTCCGCTTATCCCCTTCTCGTTCTTCGCGTCTGCCTTGCGGTACTCGCACCTGCATAGGGTTGGGTCTTTCGCCAGCCCGATTTCCAATCAGAACGTTCTCAGCGTTTCAAAAGTGAGACTCCCGCATCAGCATTGGACACAATACAGGATCGGCGATTTGCCCACGTCGTTTAGAATGGTAATCTTGCCCCAGCACTGGCCACATTCGTGGTCCGATTCCTCCCTCGTCGTTGCCCTTTCTTTTCCCCTCTATGCTGTTCCTTTTCCTCCTCCTTCTCCTCCTCCTCTTCCTCGTTCTCCTCCTCCTCGTTCCTCCTCCTCCTTGGGCACGTGCTCAGGCGGTTGAATAATATCATTTTTTGTCGCCGCTGTGGCCGCTACTCGTGTAAGAAGGTGGTTGATTTAACGAAATCCTGCACTGGCCCTCCACGGGCCCCTGGCACCATCTCACGGCTCCGCCGCATGTGTGATGGACGTGACCCCCGCACTGATCAACCAGTCGGCGACGTCACTGCCGTTGACAATGTCAACGTTATATATGCCTTTCCTGACCCTCATGCTATCTTTAATGTTCAGGCTCTGTTTGATCCTGCATGGCTTTTAGAGTCCCCGTAGATATCTCGGGGTTAACATCGGAGGTGGGGGGTGGATACATCATGGGATATCTGGTTGTCTCGTCTGTTTGATGCTGGCAGGTTTTCTTGGATCCCCGACACCAACCCGCCAGAAGTGTAGGTTCTATCGCCAGGTGTGCCGACACGTCTAGGTCGTGCCAAATGTCATGCGCCGACACGTCTGTAGTCGGCTAGGCTTGGGGATAAGTGGGTACAGAGGCGCTGAGAAGCAGGCACCCGTTCCGCCTGCGCCCACTCATCCCCTTTTGTGCTGTTGTCACGCCTCCCCCCGCCCAGGTTCGCAAAGAGAAAGATTCTTGCTCCGCCTGCCGCGCGGGGTGATATCAGTGCATGCCTCTCTAGTTATGCCACGAATCTCTCTGCCAGTCGAAATGTCCCTGTGCCGACACGTCAGGGCTCGTCGATTAGGCCTGAGGATGAGTGGGTACAGAGGCGCTGAGAAGCAGGCACCCGTTCCGCCTGCGCCCACTCATCCTCTTTTGTGCTGCCTTTTTCGCCTTTCCCCCGCCCCGGCTCGCAAAGAGAAGCAGAGAGAAAGACTCTTGCTCCGCCTGCCGCCCGGGGCGACATCCTTGCATGCCTCTCTAGCTGATGCCATCTCTCTGCCGGTCGAAATGTCCCTGTGCCGACACGTCAGGGCTCGTCGATTAGGCCTGAGGATGAGTGGGTACAGAGGCGCTGAGAAGCAGGCACCCGTTCCGCCTGCGCCCACTCATCCTCTCTTGTGCTCTTTTTCGCTCCCCCCAGCCCAGGCTTGCGAAGAGATAAAGGGCTCTCCGCTGCCGCGCTGCTTCGTGTCATGTCTGTATGCTGCTGCCTGGCCAGAGGTTGAGGCTGGAAGCCCAGGAGCCAGGACACGGGCTTCAAATTTAAGTGCCAGGTCTTGCCAGCATCGCTTGTCTCGGGCCTTCGATTTTTCGTTGTCCCTGTTTTTCGGTTCGGTCCCTCGCTCGGCTCTGTCTGGGTCCTGGTCCGTCCCTCGCTTCTTTCGGCTCTTCCTTCGGACCCCTCGCTCGTCGTTTCGGCGCCACGGGCAGGAGTGTTCGGCAGACGATCACCCGCGCGCAAATCAAATCAAACAAATCCTCCTCGTTCCTCCTCCTCCTCTTCCTCCGCGTCATCGTTCCTCCTCCCTCCTCGTTCCTCGTTCCTCTTCCTCCTCCTCCTTCTCCTCCTCCTCCTCATCATCCTCCTCCTCCTCGTGCCTCCTCGTTCCTCGTCATCACCAGCTGTCTCCTCCTCCTCCTCCTCACCCTTCTCCTCCTCCTCCTCCTCCTCCTCCCCCTCCCCTCCTCCTCCTCCTCCTCCTCCTCCTCCTCCTCCTTCTCCTTCCCCCTCCTTCCTCCTCCTCTCCTCCTCCTCGTCCTCCTCCTCCTCTTCTTTTTCCTTCTCCTCCTCCTCCTCTCCGACCCCCCCCCCCCTTGCCCGTTGCGCATCACAGGACGGGGTCATTTGGGGTATCGAGGGTATCAAGGTCCTCTAGGAACACACCAGTCGGCGGCTACTAAAAAAACACCCCAATGCAAAGGGATGCGTGGGAAGCGTGGGATGTCTGATTTGGTGCGAGCGCACAGAGCTTGACGTCCTCCCGTCTCCCCTCTCCTCCTCGCCCTGTCTCTTCCGCTTCTCCTCCTCCTCCTCCCTCCCCCTCCCCCTCCTCCTCCTCCTCCTCCTCCTCCTCCTCCTCCTCCTCCTCCTCCTCCTCCGCTTCCTTTTACGTTAGACCGACCTGAGCGTGACCGCTGTGGCGTTTGTGCGCTGTGTAAAAAAGGATGCAAACATGCAGGTGGACGACTCGGCGCAAAAAGTCTTGGCGGGCGCCGCAGAAAATGAACCAGGTAAAGAAACGGATAGGACGAGCAACAAGAGGTCGGCACTGACCTTAGCGATAAGTGCCCCTCTTCCTCCTCCTCCTCCTCCTCCTCCTCTCCTCCTCCTCTTCCTCCTCCTCCTCCTCCTCCTCCTCCTCCTCCTCCTCCTCCTCCTCCTTCCCCCCCCCATCTCCTCCTCGTCCTCCTCTTCCTGCTCCGCCCCCCCCCTCGATAGCCATGTTGGCTCAGAGGGGGCGCGCTGTCTCGCTCACAGGGAGCACCGGGAGCGATACGCCGCAAGCACTGGGAGCCATTCCCGAGCAGGGCCCCGCTCATGCCGAGCTGGGCGGCCACACCCGTGACACCGACCCGTGGGACGCGAGCAGCTGCCACAGCGCAGGCCTGATGCCCGACCTCTCCGCGAGCCAGGCCGGCGCCGGCAGCGCCGCGGCGCCCGTGGGCTCCCCGGCGCCGGCGGAGCCGCGGCTCCGCGGCCACTGCCGGCCCGCGCCGCCGACGTGGCACGAGCCCTGTGCCAGCGGCGGGGGCGCGGCCACGGCGGCCAAGGCGGCGGCTGGAGGGCGGCCGGGCCCCCTCGAGCTGCGGCGCCTCGAGAGGGTCGGCGATGCGCCCGGCGACGTCTCGCCGCGGCTGCATGCGGCCCTTCGCGGCGGTGCTGGCTGGGGGCACGCGCCTCGTGCTGACGATGTCGGGGTCCAGGCGCACGCTGGGCACGGCGACGTTGCGCCTGGAGGCGGAGAGTGTCGTGAGCCCGAGCATCATGACCTGGCACTTGGCGGGTGCACGTGTGCTCGTGCCGGCATAGGCGACTCAGGCCGAGCACCTCGACAAGGGTTTGCTCACAGAGTTCCGCCGGGCGCTGCAGCGGCCCCAGCGCCAGCGAGGGCCTGGCGCGAGCGTTGCCATTTGGCCATGCTGCCCCTGGGGCTTGTGCCAGGCACCAACGAGGACCCAGACATCCGCCGATATGATTTTCTCAATCCGCGGCCCCGAGGCTCCGACCCCTTCCCCGGTGGTGGCTTTCCCGTTCCGGATCCACCTTTGCCTGTCCCCCCG